CCTAACATAGCCAAATGCTATTCCAAGAAGTGTTCTTGAAGTATACCTGGAGCTCACACGGCAGGATGGCTTCACCAGAGATTTCTTGCAACACCAAAAAATGAGAAGCCATGTGCACCTGAGCACGACCCGCCTCCCAGGCAGGCTGTGGTTGCACACTCCTTTCCTCTTCTCAGAAGACCACAAGCGCTGAAAAAGAAACTGTTTCAGAGGCAGTGGAGGGGAAATGTGGAGATGTCTGGCACTGCACATCTGCAAGAGCAAGCAAAACAGTGAGAGGCACTGGAGCAGGGCCATGTTACTTCTGCACTGGCCCTCTGTTCCCGTGCCAGGAGAGAGACAAATCTGGATATTTTTCTGTCAACAGGCATTCACAAAGATCAGTTTATCAATTTGACCCATAATGAAAGAGATATGACAATATGACAATATGACAAAGGTAGCATCAGCTTCTAGACATGAATGGTCCATCTTCTTTAGCTGTGGGGAGAAAAACCCAAGCAGCTTGCTTAGAGTTTGTACCAGGTGTGCACGGGGCAGAGGTGCTGCAAAACACTGCGGGTTTTAAAGATGAATAGCACTTAAAGCTAGTCTAGTGCTGGACTTGGACTTGCTGTGTTAACACTTGGATTCAATGATCTTAAGGTCTTTTCCAACCTAAACTATTCAATGATTCTATAATGTTGGTGATCGATGTCCTGGAAATGCCCATGCCATAAGCCAGTTACTTCCCAAGACCTAGTCTTGCTTAAGTAAGCCAGGGATAGTTTTTCAATTCATGTTAGAGAGGTCATTTGGAACCTTGTTCAGATAATGTCCTGTATTGATTCATTTCAGTAATTACAGCTGAAACTATTAAATTTGTGCATGTGTTCTTTCCTGAGCACAGTCCTCATGCTCTTGAGGTCTCTAATTGCTCCATTATTCAGAGATTTAAAGCATAGTTCTCAAAGTTTAAGTAGAGGTTTAAACACAAGTAACTAAATAAATTTTGTTGCTGTGATTTCCAAACAAAACTAAGAGGAGTTTCAGAAATGTAGAATTATAGTCAATGTTATGACACTGACATAGGGAAAGCTGTGTATTTTTTATTTTTATGTGGTCACAGCTTCACCTGGTAGATTTCATAAGAGTGCTCCTTCTACCCCCTCCCCCTTTCCAGTGTTCCAGTTCAGAAAAAATCCTGATTTTTTATGCTAGAAAAATGCAAAAAATTGCCTCTAAACAATGACATAATCTGAAGACTTTCAGACTGCCAAACTGTGTTGTACCAAAAACATTCAAAGGAATGAAGAAAACAAGATTTTTGTAAAACCTTAGTGCTTCATGTAGTCACAAGCAAGGAAATCCCTGTAAGGAACTGAAAATCCATTCTATATTTAGCATCAGCTTAATAGGATAATGTGGCTATGGTTTACTGTTCTTCAGATTGATGGAGTTTTGCATTGTTTCATTGAAAAGGCCAGGCTTCTTTAAGAAGTCTGATCTTGCTACTTTTGCAAATAAGCTGTCTTAAGGTCAAGGAGAACAACTTCCACTTTCCTCTTTTGGTAGTTCATTGTCTTTTGCAAGTCTAATACTGCTCTGAGGAGGCAAACACAAAATTATCTGCTTTCTGTGTTTTAAAAAGGTGCCCATACCATTCTGCAAAACAAACAGTTGTTAAGCAACAGCCATCTTTTACAGCGTCAGTATTTCCCAGGAACTATCTTCTTCTGCATAGTAAAATTCATATTTACATTCCTATAAGAATCACAGAATTACTAAGTTTGGAGAAGACCTCTAAGATTATCAAGTCCAACCATGAACCCAGCACAGCCTTGTTCACCATATTCCCTAGTGCCACATGCACTACTTTTAAATACCTCCAGGGATGGTGATCCCACCACTTCCCTGGGAATCCAGTTCCAATTCCAACTTAAAATAGTACTCTCTGACTTGCTCTAGTATCTTATCTCAAAATCCCATTTGAGGAGAACACTGAGAGCTTCATGTGATAACAAAATGCAGCTATGGTCTAACCAGATGCAGAACTTGAAAGGAATGAATCCTAAAAGTTTCAGAACAGCCTAGCTGTGCCCTAGGTTTAAACTGATCTCCAGTCTTCCACCTGCAAATAATACAGAAGATGTTAAATGAAATGCATAACATTTTTGTGCCAAATTTTCAAAAAGTGTCCACCTCCAACTTCTTTTTTTTAAATATGCTAGAATATTGCCATCTGCGAATGTGAAGCTGTGAAAGCATGAATCTGAAATCTGTCAGCTGTTCATCAACATGCTGGTAATAAAAAAATGCAAGTGACAGAAGGTTGGGTTTTGGGGAGGAGGTTGCAGAGGGCGGGGGAATCGTGCCTTACTTTGCCAGAAGGCAATGAGAAGCTGCACCTAGACCAAACTTGGGATGCTTCTGCAGGCTGTGCTGCAGAGCCAGGAGCTCTGCACCACTCATGCCTGGCTGGAGAGCATCCCAGCCTTGCCATGGAGACAGCAGGTGACAGATCCCTGTCTCTGGGGCTAGAAATCAGACACCTCTGCAGTTTCAACATGTCCCAGGGATAGCCACTGAAGTAGGAGAGAAATGCTTGTAAGGGCACGCCAGCTAGGTACCCAACACCCGGCACTAACAGCTCAGTATTTGCCCTCAAGCCAACCCTTGACTTTTGAAACCCACCATTTTTAAAAGAACTTTTCTCTTCGTTAATTAATTAAATAAAATTGATTTCAAATAAGAGAATAATGTATTGTAAATATATTTAAAATTCTGATGAATTTGACCTGAAAGAAACCTTTCTACTTTTTTGTAATTTCTTCTCACTCACTCACTCGAAGGCTCTATTATGGAATTGTTCAAGCCATTACTTGTAGTACAGCATTTTAATAAATTAATTTTCTCTTTCTAACCACAGTTTTCTATTCCAATTTCCTTTATCTGACTCCTGCATTATTTTTTCAAATGATAAAATGCTCTCTTTCATACAGTTAATTCATTCATGACTTTTAAAATACATATTTCACATAACTATGCTGGCAAGTTTGCTGATGATAGATCGATCCCTTCCCATAGTTTTCAGTTACCCATCTGAACAGATTCCTTAAATTTCCTTCTCCTTTGGCAGCTTTAATTTAATTCAGACCTTTTGTAAGAGAACTTTTATGAGTAGTAATTTTTTCACACAGGAGAAAGCCCCTTGATTATACAGGATTATATTATTTACCATTAGCTGCATGCTTCTTAGCAATTCTGGCAACAGTTTGCAGTATAGACCTATAAAAACTCATAATGCAATGTCTCAAAATTTGCTGGAACAACATTTTCTCAGTGCTGAATGAGGCCTCATAAGAACAAAAACTGCCTTCAAAGTCCAAACATCCCTTAATCTGCTCATCTCCACAACACATAACAGCTTTTGATCTCTGCACAAACCCCGCTGTTGTATTAGTTCATCTTTCAAAAGGATGCTCATTTTTGATATCTTGACTTCACAATTTTAGAAGGCAAATGAGTAACAGCATCTCCTAAATTGTCTTAGAAGCTGCATTGCTTGTAAATTCAGTTTGTTTTTTAGTTTTGACTTCTAACCCTTAAGTAATACTCACAGGTGGATTAAATAAGTTTTCAGACTCCTAAGTCAAGCCCAGAGGCGGCCACAAGCACCCTTCAGTGGGTATTTGCCAGAATACCCACACAGCCAGCATCTTTTTGCTTGTACCAAAACTCCTTTCTCCTGGTGCAATTTTGCTTTTGATCATTGCATCTACTTTCCTTTCAAAGGTGGCCAAAAAAGGAAGTGAGTGAGAATGTGCAGCCCAATCTTTGCACTGTATCTGAGACATAGAAACTGCAGCACCCTGAAGAGTGAAATCTACATTTAAAGCCTTCCTCAACCTGAGAAAGTTAAACCCTGGCATTTCACCTCTCATAAAAATGCCCTTTTCCCTCTTCCTGGGCCTAGAAACAGGTGAAGAACGGGAGGGGCTGGTGAATAAGCCACCTTTTTCCTCTTAGAATAGTTAGAGTTGGATTGTAGTTTCAAAACACATGAAAAGTAATTAGACTCACCATCAGCTTGTCCTCCAGGTGTGTTTTAAAAGAAAGTGTTTAAACATGGGCTTGCTTCTCTAGCAGAAATATAATACTGAGTCCAGGATATTCTGGACTCAAAGTCCTGTGTTGGTGGAGGTTCATCCAGGCTCCTTACCATTCAGAGACAGTAGAAGATATCAGACACCATCTGGCCATTAGTACATCTACAATCTTGACCAACAAAATGCACCCCCTTGTCTGCGTCCCGCCTGGGGATCACCCCTGTCCCTGTGAAGCACTGAGGAAAACCAGACACCCCTCTCTAGGTGCTTGGGCAGGCATAACCCTGGGTGACTGAAGCTGGCTGTGAGCCTTGTGCTGGCTGACCACTACACCTCTTCTTCCCTTGGCTACTGCTCACAATCACAGTACAGGCAACTTTTAACCTTTGGGCAAACTGCACAGCGAGCTTTCCTGACATACCGCTGTAACACATTTTCTAAAATTGAACACTTGTTTTCTGATCCTGTTTCCTGGAACCTTTCTTACATTACAGCACATACGCCAAAATACTGTGTTACAGCCTCTCAGATCATTTGTAAAGCTGTACTAGCTACCTCGCTGCTCTCAAACAATCTGCTTGTGTATTTGGGGGTTTCTGGTTGCCACAAATACATAAATACAAATATTAGAAGTTCTAAGCAACCATTTATCACCTCCTTTTTAGGTTGACTTCAGACCAGGATGCGACAAAACTCCCATCAGACTTAAAATACCCAGCCTGGACAAAACTTCCACGTGAGGCATAGGGTCATTAACAAGCTGATAAATTTTCAATTATTGTGGAAGCCAGCTCATGCTAGCTTTTGAATTAGCTCCTCACGTACTCCAGGAGGCTGGTTTGAGAACTGGGATGGCCAGTAGCAGTCAGGGGACCGATACAGCTAAAGAAAGCTCATGAGCCAGTTCAGAAGACATGTTCCAAGTTCCTCCCCAGGTCTTTTGCCTTTTATTCTCCAATTCAGGTATTACATTTCCACTGGTTTCCACCAGGATTGCGCATGCACCTTGACATGTTCACAGAAGTTCCACGATACAGAGTTTCACAACTGGGACAGGTCCCTACAATTGGGACACCAGAGTGACAAAACAGATTCTGGAGAATTTCCCACTGAATAGGATGGAGGGAACATAATTACCACATCGTAGCACTACAATGTCTCATAAACATAGAATAGACTAGATCCATTTACCACAAAAATCACAGAAAATAACTTATCAAAGAATATATATTTTATGTAAAATATACATTTGTAGAATATAATTTTAATACAATTTTTATACTTATTAATGTTGGGTTTGCAACACTTTGAATTAAAAAAAAAAAAAACCCACAAAATATTCTTGCTGCCAGAATTTTATTTCTGATAATACTTATAGTTTGAGGTAACAATGAAAGAAGACTGTGTGCTGTGAACAAAGTCAGTGATGTTTGTCTGCAGTCACATTTTTGTTATTAGAGTGAAAAGTAAACTTAGGACTTGGCATGTACACTAGAATTCATAACAATTTAGGACATGGCAAACTGAGAAAGCAAGGACTTATGCAAACCTACTCTGTTTAAATTTGTGACTTTTGCAATATATGCCATTAGTATGACAGAAGTCAAGACAGATGTAGTTTACATCACTATCATTATTAAGCGCGTGTCTTTGTATGATCCACAGCACAGCTTCCTGCAGGAACCAGGAATAATAAACACAGGGGTGTGGGTCTTTGCATGGAGCCTTAGCAATGATGACATGAATTCAGCTTTCCTTGATACAGCTAAAAACTGATATTCCATGCACACGCGTTTTATTTACACTGACTCATCAACAGTGACTAGTCACCCCTTCCTCTGGCAGCAGTAATTATCAGCGGTCTTTCATCTTCTTTAACAAGCTCTGCTTCTCAGCACAGTCTCAGTGACCTCCTCAAGGTGTGAGTCGTTTATCAGGGTCCATTCAGCAGCAGCAGTCTCTTTCCAGTACAGTCCTTGGTATGGCTAAATTCCATTGTCCCTTTTTCAGCAGTCAAAAATCCATGATAAATTCTGTACAACACTGTAGTTAATATAACAGCAGCACCAGATATTATATTAATTCATTTGCTAAAAGCTGTTTGCAATTATCTTTCTATTGACAATATTTTACCAAAAGTAAATCAATGTACATCTCTAAATATCAGAAATGTATACTTTGATAAATACATTATTGTACAAGAATTCTGACATGCAGGTCATGCTATTGGGCTTGGCTATATACAGAAGAACATGTTACACGGTCAACAAAATATTTAATTTCTTTTCCTAACAAAAAAGTAAAACATGACAGGTATTATTCAACAATTTCAAGGATCACTTAAGATTTCAGTCATTATGATCTTCCCTGTGTAGTTCTAAAACTCTACAGTTTAAGGGTAATTTTTCCTCACCAGCCCAGAACCTCAAATTTGCCATTGCATTTGTCCTGTTGCATAAACAGAGGTTAATATTGAATGAAAAAGCCACTAGAGGAGATACAGTTTCAAAATTGTAACGAATGCTGGTTGCTAGGAGGAAGATTGATGCAATAGGCAACCGGTCAGTGCTGAAAAGCCGCTTGAAAAATCTTAGGAGTGCACACGAGTTAGTCTAGACGATACTAACTGCACTTGAAAAATACGTATATTTCTATCTATACAAGGATGTATAGTCCATATGAAAAAAAGAGAGAAGGAGGAAAAGTGCTCTTAGTTCAACTTAAAAAAAGGGGGGCATTTTAACAGTATCTCTGTGCTTTATGGAGACAGATGGAGAATACAAGGAGACAGGTTGCAAAACAGACAGACGAACAACATAGAGGACAAAGCACCTCAACACTGACTGAAGAAATTTTTGAAGCCCGTGAGCCAGAGGTATAAGGCTGGTCAAAAACCCAACTTGAGAACTACTACCCTCTTACAATGGGTAAAAAAAAAAAAAAAAAGCCCCCAATAATTGTTTCAGTTTTACTTGGTACCAGCTTCTGAAAATGTTGAAGAACCCTGGAGTAGAGAAAATACTACAGTACCAAGCAGCACTTGCTAGCTTAAAATTGCAAGTCTGGATGGCGTTTACCTTTCTTGCATGTTTTGTGCCTTCCCCAAGCCATTAAGAAAGAGATCTGGCTTCTGCTTGCGTGTAACCAGTAATGACAACCTCTTTGCAGTTATCTGTGTGCAAACAACCGGAGACATTCAGAACTCTGATACAGCAATCCAGTACCGAAATAAGTTAATCACAAAATAAAGTCGTTTATAAACAAGTAGATAGTTAAAAAAATAAAGGAAAAGGTTAAACAAAGAAAAACAATCCCACATGCAGACCAGTTTATCAGTGCTTTCATTTCAGCAGGATGGTAACAATGTGAGAACACACATCCAGAGCCCTCTGTGGTCTCCACGATCGGCAACACTGCTTGTCAGGTGATGGAGACAGGATGGTCCATGCAAATGAGCAGACCCTTCAGAGCAGACATCTTCAGAATGGATTAGAGTCACAAGGAATGGAGGTTCAATGGAGTTACTGATAATTACTTGGAAGCACATTGTTTTAAGTAAATCTCCCTGAAAATATGCTTATTTATTGAATATACTGGACAAGAGCATCCACTAACTGTCCTTTTATTGCCACAGGAAAGTAGGACAATATAGTAGATAAAAGGAGAAATGCTACCTTAAGTAACCTTTAAAAGCCAAGACAAAAATCTTCAGCTACCCAAGTGGCTTTTCTTACTACTGACAGTTGTATCATGCAGGAGTTAGACCGTATTTGTGGAGCCTATGCTTAATGCTACATTTATTTCCAATAAGTGGTAAACAGCATTTGATTTAATACTATGTAGCCGATTGATGCCATCTGGTTTACAAGATGGAAGGGATGGGAGACCGAGAGCGCCTTAGAGGACAAGGTGAGCTGTAGGGTGATGTTACTGGAGACAGTCGCAGAGCATTGCCTGTCAAGCCAGCTATGTTGTTTAAGCTTCGAGATTTTTCATAGCCTTGTATGAGAAAATGCACAGACATCAGTTGAATTCAGCCAAAAAATAGACAAAGACAAACAGTACAATGTAATGTAATCCAAGGAGCTACCGGGGGCTCAGAGGGAATCTGCCTGCAAAAGAACTCAGTGCTGAGACACATTACTACCAAAAGATATTAATAAATAAAATTATTTACAAATCAGTGCATCTACTTTCTCCCAAAAGAATTAAACAGACCACCACACAAGAGGTCTGACCTGCTCTTCCACATCCCATCTTGCACTTAATATCGCACTGTGGGCTTCAGCAGGGTTGCACAGAGAGCAAGATAAAGGATCCCACCAGGGTGACTGAGCTATCTGGCTAAGCATAATCAAAAACCCATTAAGACAAACTACAGAAACTGTTAGAATTAAAAAAAACCTCTGCTAAATTCAATTCTTAATAAAGTACAATTTTTTTTTTCTTTAAAATAAATAAACCAGAAACCAGATCAATTTTATACAGTATGTGTAAATAAGTTTTGCATTGAACTGAATGATAATATAAGAAGTTTTATCTTCAAAAATATTAACCCTTAGGCTTTGCTTCTAATTTTAAAGACTAAAAATACAGAAGAGTTGGACATATTTGTAAATGGCTCCTGAACGGCAAACTTAAAATATTGAATTTGTGCTTCTTTTCCAGATGACTTGAACAAAATCAATGGTATAAATCCAATAAGCAAGTAGTATAATTAATCATTAAATGAGGCAACCACATAATGCTTCACAATTTGAAGGGAACATTGCACTTCAGACATTTCTGTTCATATACACTGTGAGCTACCTACTTTTTGCCCCTGTGGATTATTTGCACTTTGTAGAGGCAATGAAAAAACATTGCTATTCACTGCATCACTATCTTCATATTCAAGTATTTTCAGCAGCTGCTGAATAATCTAATTGGCTAAGAAAAGTATCTCCTCATTGTCCTGAAGACATCAGCAATGAAATGAAACCAAGATTAAGCCAGGCAGGACCTTGCTCCTGAAGTACATGGGTATGTGCTTCAGTGCAAGCATGAGAAGTCTCACTGCTTTCAGTGGCACTACTTTTTTCCTTGAAGACAAGTATGCATTTAAGCATTTGTCAGGTTAAGATGTTCAGCTATAAATTGCCTACCAGGGAATAATGAGACTTTTTCCCACAGAAACTTTAAAATACCAATGACAATAAAACTAGACATCACATGGAATGTTGCAATTTTTTATTTTTTTTTTCCCTGATGGAAATGGTTACTGACTCCAGATTCCAGATCTCTAGGTAGCAGAGTGTTAACAGCATCTTTAGGAAAAATCATATCTTCGGCTCTCCCCTTATGACAATTAACATGTTTCTTACCTACTGAGACCTGGATACTGTAAAACTATACTTAAGGCAAATGTATAACCTCATGTCTGCTAAAACATTGTGCAATGTTCTCTCCAGATGGCAAGGGCAGACTAGACTGTGATACTACACAGAATTCTGATACATTTCTGAAACAGCCTCCAGTTTCTGAGATTTTGTCAGTATTTACACAGACTAGAAAGAATTGTGTTTGAAAAGGGAATTAAAGAGAAGCACAATGCCAGTGTATATATTTAAACTCCCTGTAAAGACAAAGCTTATTTTAAAAAAAATCAAAATAATCAGGTAGCTTTTTTACATAGAAACTAGAAAAGCAGTTTTTAAGATTCTTTTTCTTGCTACTCTTCTCATGATAAAAGGAAAGAACTGATAGAGGAAGATGGTAAAGATTACAAATAAAGTAGAAACTCCTAAAAAATGAAAACCAGATACACAAGATGAAAAATGAGAGATGCATGATCCAAAATCAGTACTTTTCAGGTATTTCAGTGGATCAGCTCTGAATCAGTATCATTTTGGAGATGGAGATGCAAAAAAAGCTCAGAATAAATAATAACTGAACACAAGCAAGAATCAACCAAGGAAAAAAAAAAACCAAACAAGAATGTACCAAAAGAAAGAAAGAAAGGGAAAAAATAAAATGTCAAAGTAGTAGACTTGATGTGTGAATGACATTCAAGCATTCAAACCCATTTGTATATTACTTGAAGATATTTTCTGCTTATGTGCTAACTTCCCTACTCTGTATAAAATACACTCCAAAGCCAGTGGCTAAAACATTTCTGCCTCAATGAAGATTATCATCAGAGCCAGAAAAAAGAGCACATTTCTCATCATAAAACTGTCCATTCTGAACTCAAGCCCCAGTTTTCTAGTAAAACTACAAAACCATTTTCTTTTAAGTCTAGATTTACGAATTAAAATGTTCTAGGATAAAATAGGTCTCACTGTTAAATAAATATGTCTTTAGTAGCTGATGAGTAACTTCTTTTATGATTTCTGATCTGCTCTAGTCATGGTTACTGCCATAACTTGCTGAGTGAAGTCAAAAACCTGATTATGCAAGATGCCATGGTAATCTACCTTATCAAGGTGTTCTTGACCTCCTCAAGGACTCTCACAATAAGAAATATTTTAAATTTAGTTGTTGAGAAGACAGTGAAACATACACTCAGTGGAAAATATAGTAAATCTGTGCAAAAAACATGCTTGCAATGCTTTTTCATTTAAGATAAACATTATATAGGGGAGTACACAGAATGCCCGAGCAGAGAGTCATACTCTTTGCAAATACTGCATCATGGTTGCCTATCTGCCTTCACAGGTTTAACCTACTGAGCTCATGCTTTGAGGTGTAAAAAGAGCACTTGCAGAACAACCCAAGAGAATTCCTTTGAAAAAAATTAAAAATAAAAAAAATGTCAGGCAAAAATGTTTGTCCAGTGGCATGGCTATTTCACATGAACTCTGAGGTGAACAACCGCACTTCAGCACTCAGGAATGCAAAATCTGTCAGAATGACACAGATAATAGAATATAATTTGCCAAGAATATAATTTGCCAAGAAACAAAAGCAGTTCCTGTCTAAGGAAATGGCAAGACTACCGCTGGCATGCTGATCTTAGGGCGATGTCCTGACGTTAGGTTTTCAGCCACAGCCAGGTGTGGCCTGCTGGGGTAGAAACAATCAGTCTTGTGGGAGATGCAAGTACCAAACAGTTTTGCAAACTCCACCTGGGTGCTCCCATCCTACTGAGCAGCAAGCAGTCAGAGTTGAAGAGGCTAAATAACTAGAAAGGCATTTTTAACACCTTGCAAGGTCAAGCACTGTTTTACTACATAGCTGATTTATGGCTGGGGTACATAGTCATCCTCTAGTATCAGTGGTGCATTGCCAGGAAAAAGAATAAAAAAATCTTTTGGCATTTTAAGCTCAGAATTTTATTTGAAAGAAATCTAAATAGCATTTCAGGATATGCTTTTTTGTGTTCAGAACAAAAATGCTCCTTACTTCTGACATGTCAACCTTTAAAGAGTATTCAGCTGTAAATTTTATTAAGTTATTAAGAGCAGACCACAGTTATAATATGATTAATATATCTTTTAGAATGACAAGTTATATTGAGTGATGAGTGGTTGAATGAGCAAGGTCTGAATTGGAGGCTTTCCCATAAGAGATTACGGACAAATGAAGAGACAAGTGAAATGAGGGTCCAACATCAAGCACGTTTTTTGAAGACTAAAAGGGATGAGTGTTTCTAAAAGGAAAAGAATGACTAGGAGTAAAGAAAAAAAGATACATTGTGAGTACAGTCTTTCCTCTTAGAGCATTGTGCACATCATTTTACTCTAAGATTGTTTTTCACAAGCACATTGCTGAGTAACCTTTTATGATCTAATGAAAGAAGTCCATACCTTTCCTGATCCCTCCATCAGTAGCACACGTGTAATCACCTGTTGTCAGTAGGAAACATGTTCCCCCTCTTCTGTTTTTGTCTCTTGTACTAGAACGTCTGATGGGAGGGAGCCTTTCACCAGGTGAGAGTGGCTGCTCACTTCCTGCACTGTCTTCACCTGATAACACTGGTTAAAGCACCATGCCCATTTACAGACAATAATGAATGAGGAAATGAGACATCACAAAGAGCTTACGCTGAATGCCAGATATTCCCATCACTCAAAAAGTAGATATAAAGTAAATCATTAGAAGAAAACAAGATTGCAATTCATCGTTAATCAGTACAAAATGGCAAAAGATACACATTTTGTTCAGGAACAAATGATCTTCCGACTTTCCTGTTCTTCTTCTAAAATTTGTATAAAATTAGATTAAACTATTATGAACTAAGAAATAATCAAACCAAGGCTCAGTTAGTCACCTACTCTGGACTGTAACTTGTCAGCATACAGTCAGCCTCGGATATCTCAAACACTTATTTACTATTTTGGCTATTGTTTTTGCTAAACGAGAGGTCATGTTAGGCATTTTTGTTTAGAATATATTGTTTAATTTTTTAAAGACAAGCCCTCATCCAAGGGCTGTATTTTCAACATTTGGCACTATACACTGTTTAATAACACTCTTAGCTTTCATTTGCATATTTATTACACTTGCACTGCTTGTCATCGTAAGTACCCAACATTAAATGCTGTCTCGGTCTCTGTACTTTGTTTTGTCAAATGGCAAAACTTCCGCCTCTCCTGATTTGTCACTCCCAAAGGACTCTCTTTTAAAATTATCTACCATTTCAAATTCAGGCCACACTTTAAAAATCCCTTCTCAGTACAGCACATAACTTCAGCTTTACCTTTGCATTTTAACCTGAGGATGTTTTGGTTTTTCTCTGAACTGGGAATGCAAAGGGCAGAATTCAGCCTTGAAGTTTTGCACATAATTCATAGTGACTCTAATAACATTCTCTATCAGAAATAAAGCTACAGTGCATGATGTGAGCGGTGGCACTACTGAAAATAAAGATAACACTTTAAAATGGCTCCTTCTTGCATGTCTGCTTTCTCTCTGACTTCAAGGATTATAACCCCTTTTAAATAAAGCCGTAGACACAAAAAAAAAAGTGTCTCTTAGTGAGAGACATAGTGATCACACTGAGCCTTCTCCATTCAGAATACCTTTGGTAGGACCTGATGGCATGAAAAAGCTGTTACCATTAACACTTTAAAGATGTTATCTCTAAGTGGGTATCAGTCAAAGCACTGAAAAACTAACTATATTTTACTGTCAGTCTGAGTCTTTTCAAGCATTTCTATCCTTTTAAATATATTTAGGATTTCAAAAAGCTGCGTTAACTTTGACAACAGTAACTCAGAGAGTGAAACTGAGCTGCTTTGAACGTAAACGCTATTTAGTAACAGAGCAACAGACCGAAGAAGGATATTGTTCAGAGACCGATTTTCCAGACTCTTCTTTTTAAAAACTATATTTCAATTACTGAATTACACCAGTCATGAGTGGTTTTGCTCTTATTATTCTTTAGCAGCTTTACAGCTGGAGTCTCATGACTGGTATGTGAGGTTTTTAAACAGATTGTGTTTGGCTTAAGAATAAATATGCTTAAGAAACAAAAAAAAAAAAAATCTTGCAGCTAAACTATTTAATTATACTGAGAGGTAAAATTTACTCTTTAACAGCAACAGGTTTGGAATATGGAGCAGTGGCTTGGAGGGACTGAGGCTGTCATATATATGCAATTTCACTGAGTAAAGCACAAAATATTCCTTATTCATCATTTGGAACTCTAACAAATAAGGTAATAGAAATCACAAAAATCAACTGTAATAGCAATGATGATGCTAAGGGCTGCCATTTTCTTTTTTCTTGACAAGATTTACATCAGCTATGCTAGTGTAATTTAATGAATAGTAAATATCATGCAATATCTCATCTAACACAGATGAAGGAGATTCTTTTAGCCAGGGAAGCAGAATGCCAAATGGAAAGAAAACTAGAAAGAAAATTTCTTCCTATTTCCTTTGAGTGCTGGGCTTTGGATGTAAAGCACCTGCTCCTTTTAAATGACTGCTTCTTTGTAGGATCTTGCTTAACAGGCCACGATGTGGCACAGGCAAAGCTGACACAAGAGACAGACACTGAGGCAAAACACCATGGAGTCCAACAGGGTGGGACACGGTGGCTGCTCAAATAGTCACAGTCATGCAGAAAAACAAGAAACATCCATACAACGCAACAAACAACAGGCAAAAGAAAAGGTTGATATCATCAGCAGGAAAGCATTCTCAACAGAGCAAGCAAAACTGTATAGACCAGCTACATAGAGGTTTGGGAACATCACTATACCTATTTTTTCCTCTATGAGACTGACACACGCAAATGTTGGAGGGGAGAAGGGTGGGAGCTACATCTTCTCCTGGCAGAAAGACTGGCTGCTTTCTGACCCCTACCAAACATACTGGTCTATAAAGTGTTTTCAGAGGACATGCATTTCCAGTGGGGTCCTACCTGATGATCTGTTGTGTTCCATCAGCTGGTTGTCCTTGCCCAGGCAGATGTCACCCTGTGTGCTATTGCAGGCCATGTTCAAGTCTGTCTTGCAGAAGGTGGGTGAGCTGGCTTGAGGAGCAGGAGGGATATGCTTCTTTCGCTTCCTTGGCAGTTTCTGCTTTGCCATGGCCAGGGAGTAGTACATCCCAAAATTGTTAACTATCACAGGCACGGGCATGGCTATGGTGAGCACTCCTGCCAGTGCACACAGGGCTCCCACCAGCATGCCTGACCAAGTCCGTGGATACATATCCCCATATCCCAGGGTGGTCATGGTGACTACAGCCCACCAGAAGCCGATAGGGATGTTTTTGAACTGTGTGTGTTCACTCGCTGACGGGTCATTAGGCTGGGCTCCCACCCGCTCTGCGTAGTAGATCATAGTGGCAAATATCAAAACACCGAGGGCCAGGAATATTATCAGCAGCAGAAATTCATTGGTGCTGGCTCGCAGAGTGTGGCCCAGCACCCTGAGGCCCACGAAGTGCCGGGTGAGCTTGAAAATCCGGAGGATCCTGACGAACCTTACCACCCTGAGGAAACCGAGCACGTCCTTAGCAGCTTTGGAGGAGAGCCCACTCAGGCCCACTTCTAGGTAAAAGGGCAGGATGGCCACAAAGTCAATGATATTCAAGAGGTTTTTGACGAATTCAAGTTTGTTGGGAGAAAAAATAACACGTACTAAAAATTCAAATGTAAACCATACCACGCAGACTCCTTCCACGTATGTCAGTGCAGGATCTGTCTCAATCTCATACTGTAACACAGCTTCTGTCCCATTGATGACCTGCTCAGTTTTGTTTATAATAGTATTGAAAGCCTCATGTGTTTCCAGGCAGAAGGTGGTGATTGAAACTAAGATGAAGAATAAAGAGGCAAAAGCGATGAACTGAAACACAAAGAGATAAGAGACATCAGAACCACAAAGCTCTTCACATTAATACAAACGATGTCTGCATTTATAGTAAAATTTTTATTCATTCTTCCCCAAATGGCTGGAAAATTCATACACATAGAAATTACCATCTAGGACACAGGAGAACAGCAGAGATCTCTCACACGCAGGTGAGGAGTCCAGGAGCAGGAAGTCTTGGCAATGGATTTCATGACAAAATGCAACTCATTAGGAAAGTGGCAACAAATCCTTTCAGCTTTGCAAAATTGTCTGAATTTGATTCAGTTGTTAAGGTTCCTTGTACACCCCAACCACAGCAATACTTAAAGATGTCCAGCTCTCTCACAGTGAAAAATATGGGCTGACCCTAACAGTCTTGAGATTATGGTTCATAATTCAGACCTGTCTTGAAGAGCACCTCAGAGGGATCTAGGAGCAGATCCAAACACTGAGTTCCCTTTAGCCTTTCAATGACTTACAAATACAGGATATTTACTGATAGAAAATGCCTTCTGTGTTACAGACTGCAGGTTACATAGCCTATTATGTATGTAGTCATCCATCACTGATTATCTTGGGCAGCACTATAAGTAAACCTTACAGAACCTCACACACTGTGGTGGCAGAGCTTTGCCACAGTCTTAGGACCCACAATCCTGCTAACTAGCTTAGAAATGCAGGGCAATCCAAACAAAAAGAGAAATACAAATTCAGTTCTAGTAGAGGCATGTGAATTGATAAAATACACGTAAATAACATGAAAACAGCCATCACAAAAGATTGTTAGGACTTAAAAAGCATATACTGTCTGTTCTTCTATTCAGCCATCACAGTCAAGCATTGAAGAACAGAGAACATCCAGGACGGGATCTCAAAAATCAACACTGAGCCAAACAGCTAGAGCAGGAGATAGAATTTCTTACACTGAGGAATATAAACTAAATGAAAAGGTGTTTTGAGGTCAGTTGTTCCTTTGCTATAATGGTTAACTTCTTTTCAATGACATTAAAGCCATTTTAGCTAGCACTTAAACAACAGTGGTATGGTACATAAATTACAATATATTTATTTTGAATTTTCATCTTAATAAACATTTTATAGCAAATAAATTTATAGCTGGGAAGAAAAAAAAGCCTTCTGGAAACATGAAGATTTTTGAAAGCATTAGGTGCCCAAGGAGGCAAAAAGATGCCTGAACAGGTTAAAAATTAGTATCAAGTTACCACACTGACATCTTGAATGTCATTGGGAAAAACCTAGTTGCAAGGCAGACAAAATAACAGCCAGAAGCAGGAATGCCTCTGTTCTGCCACTTTAATCCAGGATACAACATTGTGGCAAAACCAGTTTTGTGTACTTTGGATATCAATGACTGAATTTAGTATTAGCATTTAGATTTAGTGTTATGTGCCACAGGAACCCATCTGGGCTCATACACTACTGAATGCTTGTATTTTTCTAACATGGAACACTGGTTAGACAACAAAATATTGTCTCTACAACTGTTAGAAAGAAATCTTTTTTTTTTTTTAATTCCTGGAAACAAGTTTAAATTTGCAGTGCAGGTCTAGCAAATTTATTACATTCAGATTCACGAGATGGATCTATGACAAATCCCATATAACTACCTATATCAGATATTTGAAGGTTAGTTATGGCTTCCTTTCCTCATCCAAGGAAATAAACTTATTACACCATACCCTACAATTGCAAACACTCTAAATCTGTTGCCTTTCAAAAAGTACTGACTCAGACTGAACAGAACACTTATCATCCAGTCTGGACCTCTAGCCACAAGCTAAGCAAACAATCTCACACTGTCTGATTTTTACTGAATAGGCTTTTCTGCCTTTGCCTTAACTACAAAATTGCTGCATGTTCATAGCTCACAGCACCTGACATCAACATACACAAAAGAGCCTCAATCTTGTGTGAGACAACTAGAGTCAGCAAATACAACCAGATTTACACAATGTAAGTGAATTAGTCTCAGCAGATATTTGTAAAACTTCTAGAGAGATAGAGAATTTATCAGACTCTAAGCCACTGGTGGGCTAACAATGACCCTTGGGTGTCTCCTATAGCATTCTCCAGAATCCTTCTACACAGTCAAGGAAGGAAAAAGCAAGCAAATCTTTGCAAGCTGAATCACTGAAGCTAAGTCAGCAGTCTAGTTTGTAATTTGGGAGAGAACTTTTGACAGAAAAAATATTAGGAAACCCCTTCAATAGCAAATATATATATATTTTTTTTTTTTTGTCTGAAAATTAAAGAAAACTACATTCAGGGTAACCAAAGTAAAATTTACCAACAACTAAATAATTTACCAACAACTCAGATATAATAAGGATTAACTGTGCATTCAACAGTGCAGTAAACCTAACAGTATGTAAATAATTACCACTGCTTTCTGGACTGTATTTCAGAGGCCATTCAGGTTCAGAACCTTTGTAAAAAAATGCCGAATACCAAGAGAGTAACTAAAGGTAGAACAGCCTGACAAGCTATTTATTACTGCTTTTCTAAACATTGACATTGCACTTGGCAAGGCAGATTGCCAATTTTTAGCTATGCACCTACATTCATTGTTTCATTATCCCTAAATGTAAAAGACATTCAGTCATGTCCAAAATCTATCCTAAAGACAGTCATCTTCCAGTGGTTAGAACAAAGACAAGAAAACACCATCAATCTGGTGGCAGATTTCTGGGTAAGCCTGCAATAAGCATTCCCAGAAATGTAAAACACATGTGATGTACACACTTTGCTATGCATACACATGCCATCATTGGTTTTGAGCAGACACACATTCCTTTTATCTCTCATTGCACTTGGTTTTAAACTGCCAGCTTCTTGGATCAGGACAGAGCTTGAACAGCACCTAGCCAGAGGAAGCCTCACACACAAGAGACCTACAGTGTTATTGCAATAATCAGAGGATTCAGAGAACCTGCAAGAAGCAAATGCAAAGACCAATGCAAGCACGAACATTTTATCAGTCAAACAGAAAAATGCTTAAGGATTATCTTTATATTAACAAAGATGATTCCTTAGTATTATGTTACATAATACCAGGCAACATGTTGAAAAGTCTCTAGCATGTTTTTCATATACATCTGTAATGATAGAAACTAAATGAAGTCATGTGCTATCTCCATTTTATGCTTTCCCTCTCCTTCATCCTAATTCTAGCTTCTCTAAAGTAATTAGCCTCTAAAAATACATCCTTTTTTGTCATGTGGGCAAGCACGAACTTCAGAAAAACACAATACAGATTTGAACTCACAAATTCTCTGGTGGATGTAACCAAACAAGTTCTAATCCTCAGTCCTGCAATAGTTCCTCAGTCCACAATAACCAGGGTAGCACACACAACATTTTTTCTTTTCTTTTTTCTTTTATGAAGCAGAAAAATCTAAAAGGAGTTATTGCAGCCCTAACACAATTTTTGAGTCTTCAAAAAAAGCTGAAGAAAAATTTTCAAATAATACCCAAGTAATCGTGATCTTTTTCTTATTTTTTAAAATGGGTTTCTTAAGTAAGTGCTTCTTGTTTGCTTCAATGGATGTAATAGAATTAACTTTCATCATTTAGGGTTTCTTTCCCTCCTGAAGGAACTATTTTCCTAAGTGACAGAATGGCTGTAGAAACACTCTGGGGCCACCGTTTTCAAAACTGAAATTAACACAAATTGAATTAATAAGAAAATCAGTCCATTTTTGTCAGAAGAGAGCAGTTAAAAGTTGCAAAAATATCAGTATGCAATACACAGCATGTAGAGCATCTCTCATTAAGCAGTTAAAGCTCTCAGTAAGCTGCTGATTCCCCCTGCTCGCAGTGTGAAGACACTGTGCACCCAATTTGTTCTTGTGTGTCAGCATCACACGTTCAGACAGTAGATTCCATCTCCCAGCTTGTCTAGTTGACAGGATCACCAGCCAAGCTCTGTTGCTAAGTTCTACTAATGTTCACAGTAAGTGGATTAATCATCTATAACTTTATTTTCAATGAAGCACATAAATCTAGAGTGTGAGGTGCCTGCAGATAACTCGTTGGAAGTAGAAAACTTTGTGATTCATACTTTGAATTAAGTGTCTCATGGGGAACTGAGTATTTAAACTGAGAGCTTAAAGCAATTTCAAAATTGACAATCAATTCTAGAACACCAAATTGAGCAGTCTGTGGATTAGCAGAACTTGTATGAGTCCAACGTCACGTTTTACCTTGCACAAAGCTCCTTAACTGCATTGAAAAATGAAGTTCACTAGAAATTGTGGCTGCAAACGACCTGACAGCAGTCTTATCTCATAGGCCAGGTCTGGATTCCACAGTCAGAAAAGGCAGAAGGCCAGAGGATGCTGTGGCTCACATCTGACACACACACACACACACACAAGTAAACCCAGACATGGGACTGGTCGTTGTCCTGGGATGGAGCCAGGGCCTTCCTGCAGCCATTCCAAGGATCAACAGCTTAGACAGAGCCTGAACAAAGCAACGAAGCTGGACACTGACCTTTACACCCAGGTGTACCATATATATCCATAAGATCAGACTGATCCTACTCCATATTTAAAATAAGTTTCTTCTTTCCATCCCACACCCTTAAATAGGCTATTTCTACACAATTATTTCGTTTTCCACAGTCATCCTCACTTCTTGCTTCACATTTAAGTTTTGAATAAAATCTCTCACCATATTTCAGTGTTTTCCCATAAAAAGTTTGTATCTGGTCTGGATACTTGTTCTGGGGTTGGACCACAACCACAACCCCCTCCTCTTTCAACTCCCCTCATTGTGTAATGTATATTTTCTAATGTGACTATTTAATAGCAGCTCTTAAGATTCATTTAGTTTGAGTTACATCCCAGGACACAGAAGGTTTGCCCTTGACACACTTGACAATGGAAAAAGAAAATGACTGAATATTTAATAAGACCTTGAAAATACAACACTTAATATTCTCTAATGCAGGTACAGAATTGCCTTTAAAG